ATAGAATAGAATAGAATAGAATAGAATAGAATAGAATAGAATAGAATTCTTTATTGGCCAAGTGTGATTGGATACACAAGGAATTTGTCTTGGTGCAAATGCTCTCAGTGTACATAAAAGAAAAGATACATTCGTCAAGGATCATAAGGTACAACACTAATAATCATCATCATCATTTCTGGCATGAGTGGAAATGTAGTCATGCACATAAAGAGTATAGAGTAAGGGACTCAACAAGCAACCCAGTGGTGTACCAGTGTTAAGAATAAAGGACAAACCATGACCTGGATATCTGAGAATCTTCATAGACATTCAGACTGTGGTTGGCTACTTTTTTCCACCTTTTTTCCACCACAATCCTCCCAATGATTATTTATAGCTTCTACCTCTTCCTAGTTTTTGCATGTCAAAATATTGGGTTCCTTGAGAGCATCTCTTTACTATCTGAAGTTGGGGAAGAAGTTGACTTGGGGCTCCCAGCCCCATTTCACATTTTTCTCTTCGTTGCAATGATATAGGAGACTTCAAATTTTTCATGTACTAAGTTTGTTGATGATAGTTTGCTAATTTTAGGTCAAATCTGATCTGAAGCCTCACCAGGCCGATGGCATCAGAAACCTTTGAATGCAATCTTAGAGGTTTCCAAAAGTGCCTGAAAAAGGACATTTTTACATCCATGATCAAGGAATCCCATTATCATTGTCACATTTAAGAAATTAAAAAAAATTACATTTAACATTTATTCTGGCCCCCTTTCAAATTGCCCCATAAGACTTTGGCCAAAAATATCTTACTTCAGTTTAGAAAATATTAAGTATCTCTAGTTAGTACATAGAAGGCTGACGTACTATTGTTGCATTTCTGTGCAATTCTTAGTTTGCACAAATGTTCCTAATGGAGAATAGTGTTTCTGTCTGTTTTGCATGAAACATGCATGTTGTAATAAGGGTGGGACGAAATGTATCTTCCCATTTGCAAACCTCAGTAAAAGAAACAGGATGTAACTGAGCCAGTTTTATTTTTCTTTAATTGGCTGCAGTTTATATATCAATAGAGTTGCTCATTTCCCTGCTTTATAACATTTGTTTTTCTAGTTTAAGAAAATACAGAATGATGCTGCTACTTGTTTAATTCTCAGCTGACAGATTATTCTGTCAACTGCTATCATAATTGATGCTAAGCCGTTCTGGTATTAACCAAAGTTGTACTTTTGAAGTGGATGATTAAATATGATTTTGCCTAATGCCTATATTGACACATAGAGATGTTGCTTTATTTTTGGGCTTCACAAGTGTTAATATTCCTTTGAGTTTGTGGGATTTGTGGGACCTGAATGAGCCAGGAAAAATATTTTGAACTTACTCTCCTAGTTATTTTATTTCTTACTTAACTGTGTAGGTTCAAGAATAGCATGCATAATTTTCATGCAACGTATTTTATCTAATACAAAAACAGCAGATTAGAGCACTGTGATTACTATTAGAAGATAAATAGCCCAATAAGTAGAAGGAAGTTCTAACTAGATTTGTGTTGTTAGTTCTCTACTTACAACCATTCGCTTAGTGACTGTTCGACGTTACAACGGGACTGAAAAAACCGACTTACGACCATTTTTCACGCGACCATTGTAGCATTTCCCCATGGTCGCATGATCAAAATCCAGCTGCTTTCACAACTGATTCGTATTTATGACGGTTGCAGTGTCATGTGATTTACCTTTTGGCAATCCTTCTGACAAGCACC